TTTCGTGCAGAACTTTACTTCAGTATGCAACAAATTCCTCCTCATCTGAAGGTTCAACTAGCAGGATTGAGAATGGAGGGACAGGCTTCTCCATGGTTTCAGTGGATGTTCAATACCGGTACCATCAATCAATGGGAGGATTTCAAGAAGGCTGTGTATCAGAGTTTTGGTGTTTCAGCTTTTGTGGATTTGAGAGGCTCTCTTTCTAAACTCTCTCAAACAGGTTCTTTACTGGATTATGTCAAAGAGTTTGAAGTCTTACTGAATCAAGTCCCTGGATTTACTGATGATGTTTTAATGAGTTTTTTTATTTCTGGCTTACATTCTGAGTTAAGAGGAGCTATACAGTTACAATGGCCCAAATCCTTACATCATGCCATGCAATTGGCTTATGCTTTGGATACACACTATGCTGAATTACGTTCTTCCTTTGTTTCTCCTCCGAAGAAACTTCTACAAACCACTACACACACTAGTACCAATCAATCCCTTCCTTTCCATCGAACACCAGCTGCATCTACTGTGACACAACCAGTTACTAGCAATATGTCACGATCTGTTTCATCCCATTCTTCTACTTTGCCAATTAAAAGACTTCCTCCGGAGGAGATTGCCAGGAAGAGAGAACTTGGCATGTGCTACACTTGTGATGAAAAGTGGACAGCCAAGCATCGATGTAAATCTCAAATGCTATTGTTGTTTGGCGAAATGGAGGAGGATAATCATGAAGTTGAGGAAGAGATAGTGTGGACACCTACTGTTCCAGGAGAATCATTGGAAGCTTCCCTGCTTTCCTTATCTGGTTCTATCAATCTTAGAGCACTAATTTTTGCTGCTTGTATTGGAGGGCAAGGGGTAGATGTGTTGGTAGATTCTGGAAGTTCACACAACTTTATCAGTCGTGAACTAGCTGATAATTTGCAGATTCCAACCATACAGTCTAGAGGAATGAAGGTTTTCATGGGAAATGGTGACTTTCTTGTATGTGGGTGGAAATGTCCTGCAGTTCAAGTGGTAATTCAGAATTATACTTTCCTTGTTGATTTGTGGATTTTGGATTTGCATGGTCTGAGTATTGTGTTGGGAATGAATTGGCTGAGCAGCCTTGGTCGAGTGACTCATGATTATGTAGAACAATCCATGGAATTTTCATGGCACAATCAAGTAGTTAAGTTGCAAGGTGTGGTGGAATCTCCAACATTCATTCGAGAAAAGGTTGCCAATTCAGCTATCTGTTGCACACTGTTAGCTATACCCGATTCTGAAGCTGGAGTACAGGTCAATTCAGATTTACAAGCTCTTGTAGGTACACTGGATCCTGCTTTATGGAAAGTCCTTGACAATTATAAGATTGTCTTCCATACTCCTCATACTCTACCACCATTTAGAGGCATGGATCATTCTATCCATCTTGTGGAGGGTGCAAAACCAGTGAATTTCAGGCCCTACAGATTCCCTCATCATCAAAAATCTGAATTAGAAAACCAAATTTCCGAATTGTTAGCTGCAGGATTTATCCAACCAAGCAAGAGTTCATTTTCCTCCCCTGTGTTGTTGATCAAAAAGAAGGATGGCAATTGGAGGATGTGTATAGATTACGGGTCCCTTAATGCACTGACTATACCAAATCGTTTTCCCATACCAATTATAGATGAACTCTTGGATGAATTGCTTGGTGCAACTATTTTCAGTAAATTGGATTTGAGAGCAGGTTATCACCAAATTCGCATGCTACCTAAAGACATTCACAAAACAGCTTTTCGTACTCATGAAGGTCACTATGAGTTTCTTGTCATGCCATTTGGATTAACCAACGCTCCAGCCACATTTCAATCGGTTATGAACCAGATATTTCGTCCATTTTTGAGGAAGTTTGTAATAGTGTTTTTTGATGATATTCTTATTTACAGTGCTACACTCACTGACCATATTCAACATTTGGATTTGGTGCTTGCCTGTTTACAACAAAATGAGTTTTTTGTCAAACTTAGTAAGTGTGCATTTGGTGAATCTGAAATTTCATACTTGGGTCATATAGTCTGTGCTGCAGGTGTTAAAGTCGATCCTAAGAAAATAGATGCTATGATCAGCTGGCCACAACCTACTAATATCAAGCAATTAAGAGCCTTTTTGAGGTTGACCAGTTATTACAGGAAGTTTGTCCATCATTATGCAAAGATTGCTCTTCCATTGACTGATTTATTGAAGTCAGATAAAAGGCACTGGCCACTTGAAGCAACTGAGGCTTTTTGTGCACTCAAAACAGCCATGAGCTCCACACCTGTATTGGGTCTTCCGGATTTTTCTGCTATTTTTACAGTGGAAACAGATGCATCCAGTTCTGGCATTGGTGTTGTACTCATCCAAAATGGTAGACCAATTTCTTTCTTTAGCAAGAAATTGGGACCTCGTATGGCAGCCTCTTCCACATATGTTCGAGAGTTGTTTGCAATCACGGAAGCTGTAAAGAAGTGGAGACATTATCTCCTTGGTGGGCATTTTATAATTAGGACATATCACCAAAGCATCCGTGAGTTGCTTTCTCAAACTATACAGACCCCTGAGCAGCATCGATATGTCCATAAGCTACTTGGATATTCGTTTACAATAGAGTACAAACCAGGTTCTTCGAATGTCATTGCAGATGCCCTTTCAAGACAATTTGAGGACACTTCTAAGAGTTCGTTATTAGCTCTTATTTCAGAACCACATTTTGACATTCTCGCTCGTATAAAAACAGAGAATTCTCAAGATCTTGAGCTGATTTCTTTGCGTCAGCAATTGGATGCAGGAACACTTCCTGATAGTTCTTTCACTTACCGTGATGGTATTTTGTATCATAAGGGCAGGATCCATTTGGGAGTGAATTCTGGTTTAAAATCAGAGTTGATTGAAGAGGCTCACTCCACTCCTGTAGGTGGCCATGCTGGAGCTCTTCGCACGTTTCTCCGTTTATCAGCTTCCTTCCATTGGACGCACATGCGCAAAGATGTCACCTTATTTGTTAAAGACTGTGTCGTCTGCCAACATATTAAAACATCAACAGCAGCTCCATTGGGATTACTGCATCCACTTCCAATTCCAGAAGCCATTTGTGAAGATTTAACGTTGGATTTCATTACCAACTTGCCAGTTTCTAATGGTTGGTCGACAATATTGGTTGTAGTTGATCGTTTATCGAAGTACGCTCACTTCATTGGCTTGTCTTATTCATACACTGCTGCAACTGTAGCCAAACATTTTTGTGAACATGTAGTCAAACTTCATGGCTTTCCACGTTCGTTGGTATCTGACAGGGATCCTATATTCATGAGTAAGTTTTGGCAAAAGCTTTTCTCTTTAAGTGGAACTAAGCTCAAGGCCAGTTCTAGTTACCATCCTCAAACGGATGGCCAATCCGAAGTTACTAATCGCTATCTAGAACAATACTTACGTGCTTTTTGTTCTGATCAACATCACAGATGGTCATCTTTTTTGTGTTGGGCTGAGTTACATTATAACTCTTCTATTCATTCGGCTATAGGGATGTCTCCCTTTCAAGCTGTTTATGGTAGGGTTGCTCCAACCATTCCTCATTATCCTAGAGGATCAGTTACCATAGAAGCTCTTGATACCATGCTCTGTCAACGCAATTCAGTTCTGTCTGAATTAAAGGCCAATCTGTTGCGGGCTCAGAATCGCATGAAAAATCAAGCCGATCGTCATCGTCGTGATTTGGTTTTGGCTGAAGGAGATCTGGTGCTTGTGAAGTTACAACCTTATCGTCAGATGTCGGTAATGCCTCGATCGAATCAGAAACTTGCAAAGCGTTATTATGGTCCATTTGCGATTAAAAAAGTCATCAGTGCAGTAGCCTATCAGTTGGATTTCCCTGCTTCGTCCAGGATCCATCCTACATTTCATATGTCATGCTTGAAACCTTTTCGTGGTAATTCGAGTGTTCCGGTTGCTCAGTTACCTGTCATTAGTGTGGATAATAAACCAGTTCAATATCCATTGGCAGTCCTCGCCACACGAACCATTGAGGTCAAGGGCACGTCTCAAGAACAGTTCCTGGTTCAATGGTCGGATACTGTTCCTGAAGATGCCACTTGGGAACCAGCTGAAGCTTTTCGTTTGGCTTATCCAACGATAAACCTTGAGGACAAGGTTTCTCTGGAGAGAAGGGCAGTTGTTACAACTCTTCATAGGTCTATAAGGGAAAAGCAGCGTCCAATATGGATGGAGGATTACGTGGGATAGTTAGTTGTGGCAGTTGTGACATTAGCAAGTGTATCTGTTAGTTTGTTAGACATTTGTACCTATAGAATAGTGCCATGTGGACAAGTGGGTCCCTATTGTAAAGGGAGTTGAAGCTATATAAACCCTTGTAGTTCTGTTGAAAGGTATCGGAATAAGAAAATATACAATCTGTTTCGTTTTCTCTCGTGTTCATCGATACTCTGTATCATTCAATATCTGTCACGTTGCAACTAAATGTTGAGAATAATTCAATTTAATTTCATACCTAACATTCCGTATCTTTAGCTGAAAATTGGCATATTTATTTCTCGTACTTCATCAAACTCTAATTTTATCGTATGACAAATACTATCCAACGACAAAAAATTACCTTTCAGAAGTCAACTACAATGAATCCAAAAGGATAAAACTTACATAACACGCTTGCAATTTGGCATGGCATACATCTTGAATAATCAGTTTATCACTTCACTGCATGTATAAGTTCGAGATATAGAAACACAATTTCGAGATATAAATATGGGTTATAAGTTTCTCTGTGAGACCCACCAAATTTTTTATAAATAAATAAAAAAAAGTGGAATGGGACATTTATTTATGTGTGCAGGATGGGAACAGTTTCTACAGCAAGAAACTCGTTCCCCTATAAATATATGCAAACATTTCAACCAAACTATAAAAACACAATTCAAAAAGTATTCAACATAAACAAAGTTATTTGAATTAGCTTATATCGAAAAATTTCCTTTAAACCTAATTTGAATTAATAGTGGTCAGTTCGTTTTGGCTCCGGAATACCCTTGTCCACCGACAGGATTTAGAATAAACCTGTCATTTAACATAGTTGCAGTGAGAAATTTAAGTGTATATATGATTTGGTAGCCAATACCAGCGTCTTGGGAACTTCCATTATATGACACTGACAATTCCAAAAACTCGTTTTGTCCTTATCAAAGAAATAAACCATAAATTTTGCAAAATCTATAGATACAACATATATACTTTTTCTGTTTTCCAACTCCCGATCTGAATGATATCTCAAGCAAACCTGAGGGGTGATACTGCTGGCGCAGCCACAACTTTTGGGGGGAAGGGTAAGGTTTGCAAACATTGGAAAACCAATCACTTCCAGTAAGGATGGTATCTTCCAGCAATAGGACCATCATCCTTCTCAGCCACTTTGCCACTGTCATAGCCACCAGTGCGATTGAAACCACCAGTTCTTCCATATGCATTACCATCTCCATAGGCAGTAATGCCAGCATAACCACCAAGATTACTGTAAGAATTGACTCCATAACCGCCAAAGCAATACATTGGCCCACCATATCCAAATCCATAACCATATCCACAATAGCCACCATAAGCAGCAGCAGAGCTTCCACTATAGCTCCCCTCAAAATGGCTATATGCCCCATTCATCCCAGAAGCTGTACACTGTACACCCTTTTTTCCATGATTATGACCTCTAGAATTATGCCCACCAAATCCATCCATTCCATTGTCAAAACCACCATATGACTTTCGGGAGGTGCTGCCGTAATCAACTCCAGATCTTTTGGGCTCAGCTCTCTTAATCTCAACCTATATTCATCGTCCGACAAGGTTATCAAAAAGAGTAGACAATAAACAAAAAATATCAGCTTCTGTTTGGAACAATATGAACATTTTATTTTAATTTCAATAGTTTGACTGACCTGCTTGCCTCCAAGTTCATGAATTTTTCCCACTGAAAAAACATTATCAACAGAATCTTCACTGTCAAAGGTGACAAATCCAAAGCCTCTAGATCGCCCAGTCTTATGATCTAGCATGATTTGGCACTCAACAATATGACCATAAGGTGAAAAGTATTCCTTCAACTCATCTACAATGCAATTCATTACAGTCAGAAGACAGAATACACAAAGTCCATTATAATCCTAAAAAGAAATGGTGGCTGGTTCGCTATACCATCAGTGAAAAACTGGGGTAATCCACCGACAAAGATCTTCTTTGTTTTTAATACCCCAGTAGCTTCCATGTCCTCCCTAGGGACTGTCCTCTTGACTTCAACCTGATGAAACAAAATTGACTTTGTCATCAGGGGCAAAGATATGCACTACGATGTCTGAACCTTCATGTTTGAAACAAGAACTTACCACTCTGCCATCTATGGTATGCTCCTGTGCCAAAACTTCATCAGCAACAGCTGAATCAGCAAATGTTACAAATCCAAATCCCCGCGGCCTTCCAGAATGTTTATTCATCATTATCACTGAATCTATTACTTCTCCGTATTTGCTGAAGTATTTAAAAAATGTCTCTGACAAACAAAAAATGCCAGAATGAGAAAGCTATCTAGATAAAGCAACAAAGGTTTCATCTTCCATTATCTTCTAGCTGTATTCCCACATCCACTTTGGTAACTAAGGACATACAAACAAAAACTAGACAACAGAAAATGTATGAGCAAACATATAGTATTCTGTATCAAAGAAACTGTCCTTAATTTGCATAATGCCATAAATCAAAAGTATTGGGAAAAAAAATACTATATGAACACTCTTATCGACATCTCAACCTTAAAACTGATATCATTTTGTACCAAATAACATACTAGAAAAAAAAAATATCATTCAACAAAAATAGGAGATCAGATCCACATTCAGCTTCGATTAAGTACTCTAATTCAATGCTTCAGATACTCTTTGAAGCAGTAAGAACATTCATCACAAAACAATCAGTGGTGGAAAGTGGAAACCCATGTACATGTACAAATGAAATGGACACAAAACCACCAAAAGACCATAATTCAATAGTAATGGCTTCTAATCATTGAAATAGTATCAAGCATAAAAGATACATCATAGCTTACTAAGCAAAGTGAAATATGTTCATACATTAAATATTGCACTAGATTCCACCCACTTAGATGTCAACCAAACACTGGATACCATATTATACGTAATAAAAGAAGAACAAGTATTCCCTAGAAAAATAGTAGAACATATTCTCTAAGCCAACAGGAGACGAGAAAATTTTATGGAAGAAGTGAGAACACCTTCAGAAGTCTCCCAAGATATGCCTCCAACGAAGAGTTTTCTAAGACACAAGAAAAAGCTGAAGTTGTTAATTCATCCACACACAAAAATTCAGAAGGCCAGCAATTGACAGAAAAAGGATGGTCCAGAAGCAGAACCACAATCTTTCTCTCTCCTCCAAACACAGGTACACACTACAAAACACTACAAAACTAACCCTGAAGATGAATCGCGACGATTGAAGGAGGGCTTTACGTTGCTATCTAGGTCATCATTGGCATCAAAACCATGCCCTATTTGATAACATTCATCTTTTTGCCCAACATTGTAGGCGGAAGTGTCAGACTCCAATTGCGAATGTTGGGAAACATAATAATCCATCGAACTTGGTCAAAATTTTGAGCGTTTTTATCTACTACCCTTACACCAAAAAAACATGCAACTTCAAATTCAAAATTGAAGGCAGAACCAAACCCTAGAACAGCGATGAAACCTGATTTGTAATTGTGGCAAATTTCCCTTTCTTTCCCTCCCCTGCTACTGCTAGGCTTATCGACAGACACAAAATTTCAGTTAGAGCCTTAGAGGTGTAAATAAATTTTTCCCCCTTAGACTTATGAGTTATGATCATACTGAAAAAAAAAAAAAAAAACGCCGTCGTAAGTAATTTAATTTAAGAGTACGATGTTTAAAGGACATATAATAAGTACATAGTTTTTTTTTTTTTCTAGAAAAATTATCTATATTAAACTTAAAATGATGTCATTTTAAGACGAAAATTAAAGTATTTATATGGGGAGGGGTTATATTTACACCTCAAATAGTTTACAAACTCTTACAATCATATCTTAACAGTTAATTTTTGTCAATCAACGGTTGTCATTTATTGTGAATTAATAATTAATTAATAAATTTGATTTGCGAAAATCTTATCTTGTTGATTGACGAAAATCAACGTTTAAGATATAATTGTAAGAAGTTGTAAACGAAAATAGGTTGTAAGTATAACCTTCCCCATTTTTTATAATTATAATTTATTTCAGGATTATAATATTCTTTTTCGTTATAATTAATCTTTCAACCCAAAATGATGTCGTTTTGGGAGTAAATATAAATAACTTATTTACATCCACTGTATAAATATTAAAGTTATAATTATATTAAGGATTCGATTTTTCTATAGCCTCTTTACGTGTAACAGTGAAATTTTTCATATATATAGGTTAAAACATTTAATGTGGAGAATCATAATTATACAAAGAGTGAAAACATTAAATATAAGGAATCATGGGAGAAAAAAAGAAAAAAATTATGAAAATTATGAGAGAGAGAAAAATATTTTTTAGTTTTTATTTTTCTTTCTCCTAAAATAATAAAATTTCATATCTTTTAAAAGGACAAATATTTGTCTCTTAATTTAAAAAAAAAACTTATTTGATTACTTTTTCCAAAAATAATTTTTTGATTTTCAAAATAAAAAAATAAAAAACTTGTTTGATAATATAAAAAAAAATTTAAAATTAAAATTATTTTATTATTTTTAAAATCAAATTTAAAGAAGATGTCTGAGTTATTTTTATTTAATATTTAAATTTTAACTTTTAAAACAAAAAAATATAAAAAAACATATTTTCATAACTATTTTACAAAATAATTTTAAAAATAAAAAAACCACAACTTATCAAACAAAGCCTTTATAATTCTCTTACCTTGGTGACCCGACTCAACCCATAACCCAAATTGTGACCCAATTCAACTAGCTTCATCTTCACATATGCACACACTAAAAGGCTATAATCCAATCCACAAGCCCCAACTCATCACTTACCCACCCAAACAACTTCGGGTTAGCTTACTACTACTGCTCGGTTTTGATTTGAGTTGGGCTAGACTAGAGTGGCAAGCTAAATAAATTGTTAAACCTATGACTACGAGACTGCAAGTTTTTTTACCTAGCCTGCATTTTTTTATTATTATTATTTGAGTATTAAATAAAATGCTAATTTTTAAAAACTTATTCTATTGACTTATATTTAATAAATTAAAATTAACTTGTTATAAAAAAAATTTGAATTAATTATTGCTACAAATAATTTTTAAATAACATTTTAATAAACCTAAAAAGCAAATATATATAAATTAATAGTTAAGTTTAAAATTTGTTATTCTAAAGTAAATTGACCCATTGAGCGCCTCCCAATTTTCACTTTGTCAAATTATTTGTCTAATTCATCAACCGCAGCCTATTTTGCATGAAGTGTAGCCGCTGAACAACTATGCTTTTGGTGTAGAAATATTTTTTCTAAGACATTCGTATAAAAATGAATGGATCCACAATTTTTCTTTTCTTTTCTCTTTACTTTAGGACCTACTCATTTTATAGGAGTGCAGCAAAAAAAAATTTCTATACTAAAAATAGAAACATTAAACCCTATATTTAGGGCCCGTTTGGATGAACTTTTAAAAAAAGAATTTTTTATACATTGATTTTTTTAAAAAACCTTTTTTTAAAGGTCAAGTTATTTTCCTTTTCGATGTATAATCTCAACATCACTTTTATATAAAAAATTTATTTGGATGTTAAAATAAAAAAATACTTTTTATATAAAAAATTACAAAAAGCATCTATAAAAAAAATTTAACAACTTTTTAGAATTTACGCAAATAAAATTTAGAGAATGTGATTGCAATATCAGAAAAGACGTTCCACAAACTACTCCAATGCTATAAGAAGATGTTTGATTGTAAAGTGATAGGTTGTTGAAAGACCTAACTAAAAACAACAACATAATAGTGAGATAAGAAGAGATAAAATAGATATGATAAGATGAAATTAAAATTATATTTTAAAAATTTATATTATCTTTCAGTTTCTCTTTTTTCAAAAAATAACCAATTACTGGCTAAAAAAACAGCATTTTAACTTTTATTTTAAATTTTACTTTTAAAAAAAATTGTTATCCAAACATCTAAAAATTCTCAAAATAACTTTTTAGGAATAAAAACTTATCCAGAAGACACTTAATACTGAACTCCTTATCAGTTATCACACCGTTCCCTAATTATTTTACTTAACTAAAACATTCATAATTTCTAACATTGAGCAAGTACTATACATAAAACAATTCATTCAAACATTTAAAGAAAAATATCAAAACGATGTCATGGAGACGAAAAGTGAAAACTACTTATCATTACATATTGACATTAAAAAGCCATGGCATCCAGCATCTAGCGTCAAGAAGTACAAGTATATTCTTTCCCTTGACATTATACCTCCACTTCATCATCTTCATCTTCTTCAAACTCCTCCTCTTCGTCTTCATTGTTTTCCTCATCCGGAACATTCTCTTCATCAGCAACAATGAAGCCTCCTAGGGTCTCATCATCACTGTCTTCTTCTTCATCAGTTTCATTGACACGAGCTGCTTTCTTTCGCGTAGAATTTCTACTAGCTTTGGTATCTCTATTAGGTCCTTTATTTTCTTTTGACCTTGTGGAGTAGCCTGGTCTCTTACCTTTCCCTATCTTAGCATCAAGGTCCTTATCATCTTCACTTTCCCCAGTCCACTCGTCATCTTCATTGTCTTTACATTTTTTTCGCTTTCTCTTCATTTTCCTCCTCTCCTTCCTAAAATCATCCTCATCCTCACTATCTTTGCTAGGTTCCTCGAGGAACCAATCCCAATCCTTCACATTCCGGATCATGCCCTTCGGATAATGGTCAAACTCGTGTCCCATTACAAGAAAACCAAACTCTGCATTTTCAAAACTTAAAATATGATATAATATTTTCAAAAGAATTCAAATAGTTAATCATTGTGAATTCAAAAACCAGCTCATGCGTAAATGGACACAAAAAATAACCATCAAGCTATCAACTATGTTATTCATGATTGAATTATACTATCCTAGGAAGGTTACACAAACACAAGCTAGCAAAATTATAGTTTAAATCATGATTATTACAAAATCTTGCTCAGAAAAATTACCACCGCTGACACAAAATGAACAAAGTTAAACAATCATCAACTCAAAAGTTTTTTTTTGTTCCCAATGAAAAACATTTTTTTTGTGTGAGGGGGAAATCATTTCCATTTCAAACACCATAAAAGTTCATACCTGCCCTCAAGTTCCCAAGACAACACAAAAATATGGATGCATAATAAGACCACTAAACGTAAGAATTCAAATTCATACTCCTTAATTCTTAGCGCAAGCAAGCAACCAAATTTACATCAGGAATGAAGCACCGGAAAGCAACAAAAAATTGAAAGGCAGCCAAAACTTGATTCGACCCAGGAATGATCTTGGTCATGAAGTAAAGAGGGTAATTATGAAGCACCGATACTCCGAATTTTTTTTCCAACGTATCCGATACGCGTATCAGGAACGTATCGAAAACGTATTGTATCGTATCGACGAATTAATGGTCGTATCGAGAACGTAACGTATCGAAAACGCCGCGTCGGAGTCGGTGCTTCGTAAGGTATTAACATTAAACAGAAAGGCAATACCTTGAACAGGATCAATTCCAGAAACATCCATTTTGTCAAAATTAAGGTCACCCGTTGAACTCTCAGGTTCAGCAACTTCATCCCCTTTCTTCAAAATGAACCAGAGGGGTTCCTTCCCAAACAAGCAGAAACGGTCCCCGAATTCCAAGTGACCCTTCTCCAACTTCCTGAAGATCCTAACCGCTCCGTCCTTGTTAGTCCACACCCAAATGGGGTTCCTTCCGGTGACTTCGAATGAAACCCTAGGAGCCTCTGATTCCGCCTCCAATTGGAACGAAACGTGACGGCGAGAAACTGTGCGGTCGTTAGTGCTAAAACCAGAGCCTCGTCCAAACACTGATTTATCACCCTTTTCAAATGCGAATTTGGAACCATCTTCACCTTCAACCTGAACCTCCATGGTGCATTTTCCGGAACCATGTTTTGATCTCGGTTGGCAGTAAAAGTAAACAGTTATGTGTGTGAGAGTAAATTATTAAATCATTATTTAAAAAAAAAAATTATGACAAAAAAGATATTCGATTTCAATATATTTTTAGAATAGTAATGTAACATATTTATAAATAAATTATCCATGTCTTGTTTAATGATCCAAATAAGTTTTTTTTTTTTTTTTTTGTACATTAATGTATTTCTTATATTGCACAAACAAATTATTTCATGCAATATACAAAAAAATGGATAGAACCTTTTTTCTTCTCTTTTTTTAATAGATTTCATTTCTTTTTTTTGTGTTGTATGAAATAATTTATCTCATGAAAAAAATTAAAACCATAATTTTATTTCTATTTCACTAAGCTGTTATGATAAGTTTTATTCTATAAAGTCTTATCGTCTATTCATATTTTGTTACGGATTAGTTAAATGATCTCAAGTTTCTCTTCCTAATGCATCACATGCACTACTCTTTCTCAACTTTCTTTCACTACACATAACTCCCATTAAGCATTGCATCGTATCACTAAGTCACCTCCAAAATTATACATTATGTGCACAACCTCCCTAATTGCTATATATGACCTCCTATAGCAAAGGAAAGGATAAGTTCTTCATCATTCACAGAATTTGCTACCATAGTTACAACATTTATACTTGTGCTCATAGCATATCTTATCTAGGTAATTCACGCATACACACCCTTTATTCATACAATTGGACTGTTAGCTAGAGATATTGGACTTTTATTTGCCAGTCATCTTTATCTTTGTTCCCTAAATACATTTACTAGCTTCTCAGCTAAATATTAATTTTCACCTCCAAACAAATTTATTAATTGAAAAAATCATGCTTGAACGAAAGACATAAAAAAAAAAAAATACAATTTCTCTCTCGAACACTAATTTTCAGAAATATTTCCAATAAATATTATGGAGATGTGTTTATTAATAATAAATTATTATTATTTTTTTTTCAATTATAACATGATAATATTATATTCTCGAGATGGGAAATAAAAAATCTTTTGGTCTCTGGTTTTGCTATGGGCATCCGATATCTATCACAACACGAGTCTATTTTATCCGACAGACACCTACAAAAGAAAAGGTGTTGAAACTGAAGGAAGTAGGAAGTGAGGATGACCTCGAATCACTTTGCCATTCACCGTCTCCCTATTGCAGTGGCAATGCGCTCCACCTTTTGCCCTCATATTCCCAACCACTTCAACTTTCGACCAACACCTACCAAAACCTTCTCCGCTCAAATTTCTAATGTTTCTCCTCAAGCTCAAGGTATTCCCTTCCACTCTTGATTATTATAGATAGCCCAGTCAGTATAACATCAATATTTCAATTCAACTCAACTCAACATTTAAAGGCACTATTATTAGCCATTTGGGAATGACATGTCTACCCCGCTCAACCAAACTCACCTTGTAATTTGTGCTGTGCTTTCAGTTTCAGTAATTGAGACACCAGCACGGGTTGGATTTTTGGGCATCGGAATCATGGGCTCCCCTATGGCCCAAAATCTCATCAAAGCTGGGTATCTATCTATCTTTGCCTCAACTCATATACACATACTTATCATGTTACACAATAAGGACACACTTATCATCGGAGTAATGTTGGTTCATGTCATTCATTTTTCGTGCTTGTCTTAGGAGTAAGTTTCTAATTCATTTTTTATTTTCTTGCTTCATCCTTGTTTTGACTAAGGTGTAATTAACATGCCTTGAGCTGAAACCTTAGTTCTCCAGATCCTAATTAATCCTCTTAATTATTCCTGTTGTAGAATTGATCTGACTGTTTGGAATAGGACCAAGAGCAAGTGTGATCCTCTAATCAGCTTGGGAGCAAAGTAAGTTCTTGACATGCTGGTTCCCTTATTAATGTTTTTTTTTTTCGTAACAGAAACAAAACATGATGAATGTCCACAGCATTATTATTAAATTGTTTTGCATCTGTGGATGATACTTACACTCATTTGGAAAGACACATAAAGAGAAGAACTAAACTATAAAATTTTAAAGTGTGTTTAAAAAGCCTATGCATTTTTCTCTGCAGATATAAATCATCTCCTGAGGAAGTAGCTGCATCTTGCGATGTCACATTTGCCATGCTTGCTGATCCTCAAAGTGCAGTGCGTATATGTCAGTATAGCTTTTAAAACTTATATATTATTTCTGAGCTGGTTATCTTTGTTCCGTGTCAGGTGGATGTTGCTTGTGGAAAGAATGGAGCAGCAAATGGAATGGGCCCAGGAAAAGGGTGCTATATTTTAATTCAAAGTTTCAAACTATTTCCAGTATATTGTATTTGAAATTAATAGTGACTCTTTTGTATGTCAGATGCAGCAATTCTTCCCTCTTTGGCTCTCCCCATACCTTATCATCTTACTATTTAAAGCTTCTATCTCTAGTTTGATTATAGTCTATCCATAGTTTTCAAGACATTGCATATCTTTGTTCATCACATTACTAATGTCTGTAAGCCATATACCTATCTGATTATTTACTTTTTTAAATAACAAAGTGAGAGATGACGCATGCCAACTAATAATGTATGCTGCATTGTCCTTCCTTAATCTGATGACAAGCTTAATCCCATATATATTTACAGATATGTAGATGTTTCAACTGTTGATGGGGACACTTCAAAATTGATTAATGGGCACATAAAATCCACCGGAGCATTATTTTTGGAGGTGCAATTGATTATAGTTTCCCTATCTATTTTCTATGGCATATACAGGGTGCTGTATAATTAGGATATGCATTATTGCATTCCTAGCCTTGGCGAGATGAATATGTAAGTTATAACACCTATGAAGCCATTTCGGTGTACCTACAGGCTCCAGTTTCAGGTTCCAAAAAGCCAGCTGAAGATGGAAAATTGATATTTCTCACAGCAGGTGAATATTCTTCTTCAAGTACTAATAACTTGTTCAATTTGGCATGCCAAAAGAGTTGGTGAGGATTATTTTATTGTTTACAAGAACAAAATTCAGCTGGGATGTGTCAAGTAAGTTGCAACACCGATTCCAATACAAGGTAGCTGCAGATACTTGAAATTATGAACTTACGAAGTCTTTTTAAACATGCCATAGTAGAAAGAATTTTTTTTCCTTATAGATCCCTGCATAATTAACAGCGCAGCGCATAACATTGTGAATGCTTTCAAATGCACTTACTGAAACTGAGACATGTATATAATATTTCAGGGGACAGAAATCTTTATGAAACGGTTGCTCCTCTCTTGGACATCATGGGGAAAGTAAGTATATAGTTCTTCAATGAAAAAAGGGAAAAGAGAGAGAGAGACAGAGAAGTTCTTTGATCTTACTGGCAAAGTAAACACTTTGTTCAAATGTATGCTTTATGCTTTTATGCAGTCGAAATTTTACCTTGGTGATGTTGGAAATGGAGCTGCAATGAAACTAGTTGTCAATATGATCATGGGCAGGTCTTTTACAATTCGTCTCCTGTTATTTTGCTGCCATTTATCCTTGTGCTGATGGTTAAGGTGATACTATTTCTTTCTATATTTTCCAATGGTCCATAGTATGATGGCGTCCTTTTCTGAAGGCTTACTTCTCAGCGAGAAAGTTGGGCTGGATCCAAATGTCCTAGTGGAGGTATTTGCTAGTCCATGAAATAATTACCACCGGATATAGTCTATGAAAAATTTCATGGATTCTTGCACTTCCTACTTTTCATCGGATTTTAATTACTAAGGAAGCTTTTGATTGAAAATGTTTTTTTTTTTTTTTTTTTTTTTTTGGAAACGTTTTATTTGTTTCTAATTTAGATCTAGATGATCATCCCACTGTTGGAAAAACAGTCAACATATTCAGTGGCTTTTCTAGCTAAAATTTGCTATTAATATATATGGATTTGCAGGACATTTCCTTATAAAAGCTCTCTGGGCTGCAGTAAATTTTGTGGTTGAGAAAAATCATTAGTCTGCTGAGAATTATTAACTGCATGAGAATGATAAGTGAGAATGTCAAAAGAGAAATCATAATGCAAATAAATTTATTTCCACACGTGTGTTGTCATCTAGTAGAATGCCTCAGGTTCTGGGGCTAAGTTGAAGCTCCGTCACTTAAAAGCATATTCTTTTTAAGACATGTAAGATGGTGTGTGACTTTTGTTGAATTTTTTCTTCTCTTGTTTTTTCAATGTTTCTACCCGGTTATACTTGCTTTTATTCTCTTTATTCCTATTACTAGGAGAACTAATTGCCCGTGATGATAATCCGCTTTTCTTTTTCCTTCTTGATATTGGGGTTCATCTTTCTTTGTTGTTGATAAGGAAGTATGTGTCATGAGTACTGAAAGAAACATTATGTAGAGCCCTTAAGAAATGGCAATTTTGCAGGTAGTTTCAGAGGGTGCCATTAGTGCTCCAATGTACTCAACCAAAGGCCCATCAATGATACAATCACTTTACCCAACTGCATTCCCTCTAAAGCATCAACAAAAGGTGTGTGTATGAACATTCCTGTTTGCTAAGTCTCTTATGTGAGAACTAAACTTGCTTTCTTAACGCAAAATTATTGGTGACAGGATCTAAGACTTGCCCTGGGGTTAGCAGAGTCTGTTTCCCAACCCACTCCGATTGCAGCTTCTGCTAATGAGCTATATAAAGTTGCAAAATCCCATGGTCTTAGCGATCAAGACTTTTCAGCTGTCATTGAAGCATTAAAATCCAAATTCCAGCACTCAGAAAACCAGTGACGTTTTTTATGAGAGACATGTTCAAATGGAAAACGACAGTGAGCTAGGCCACTTGAATCAAGAATAGACGTAAATTTTGAGGCTAGTCAATTTGAATGCATTCCCTGAAATGTAGATTATTATACCTCCAAGGGCGTAAAAATTTTTATGATAAGTTATTTACAATTATTATTTAGTATAGATATTATCCTCTTACCCCTTTTCCCTAAGGTGTTCTTGCATAGCCTATCTACTTCTAGCAACACATTCAAGATTAATTTTTTGGGATTTTTCGTTTCATATACCCACCTTCAGTTGTTCGATTTCCCTCTACTTTGTGAGTCTTCTAGTTTTTCTTTAACAAATTATAAGAATTTCCTAATTTTTAGATTTTCCTAATAACAAATTATTGTTGACTGTCATTGATTAATTAGATATAACAATAGTTGTTGGCAACAAATGTTATGCTTGGCCTCTCAAGTGATCATTATTTATGTTACAGCAACTAATAACTGTTATTGACCAATCAAAAATAAAGAATAATCATCGACTGTGCAATGACTATTGTTGACCATTCGATGATGAGCTACAACTATTTACATAATGCAATTGATATTGATTAATCAAATATAAATAATAACCTTGATAGTAAGGATAATCTTGATTATTATATATGAATAAATGATCATTCGTTTTAATTAAAATTAGAATAATTATTTTTAAGAATTTTTCAACTTTTTTAAATTAAATATTACTCCTTTGTGGTTTTCTGCAAATATTTTTTCTAAATTTTTCTATAATTAATGTTTGGATTTGAGACGAGTTAGGTAGGAACAGTGATCAAAGTGTTATTTTTTGATGAAAATTTTACTCAAATATCAGGCGACAGTACTTTTTACCAGATTGCCATGTGTCATAATTTGCTACCACTGGTAGCAAATTTCGTGGCCAGTGATTTTGTGACACGTAGCTATATTACAGATCAAATTTGCTACTACTTGTAGTGAATTATGACATGTCAGCTTTTTTCTGCGAAAGTGTGTCACATGTCATAAAATCATTGTCATTATCAGTTGTAACGAATTATGCCTACGTGACAGTATGATAAAAAGTACTGTTCGCGTGACATTTGAATAAATTTTTGTCAAAAGATGACATTTTGATCACTGTTTCACTTAGGTATCCATTCTTGATTGTTCTGGGAGACACATTTTATTAAAAGAAGATTTTTTTTTGGGATAAAAGAAACAGAATTATTGAATCCTCAAAGTATTAGTCTAAAACAGGAACAAAGAGATATTAAAAATGTATTTGATTTTTTTTTCAGATAATAATTTTTTATTAATAAATTTTAAAATTTTCATAAACTTTAAAAAATAAATAAAATCAACTAAATATAGAAGAAAATCAAATAAAATTATTATTATTTAAGAAAAAAATCGTACGTTGAAAAAAGGCCTTGCCAGCTTACTAGTTAGTAGTTACTACTGGGTCCAACTAAGCTATTCAGTGTTTTATAGGTCCGTGCTTCCCACGCTCTTCACCCGCACGTATAAAGAACCTTGAGAGATAGAGATTAAGATTTCAGAAAGAGAAAAAAAGTTCTCTTCTTCTTTCTGTATTTTCCCTCCTCGTTGGTGGTTTTCCTTCTCCATTTTCTCGTCTCCCAAACACTGAATCCTTCAACATGTCCGATCTCGGCGACGATCTACCCGCTGCTGCTGCCGGTAATTTTAATCGGAATCCCTCGATGGCTCAAAAACAAGTTCTTATCTATCTTATCACTTCAAACTAGTGCCACTCGTTTCTCTCGTTGCTTATAATCGTCTGATTTTACTGTTCTTCTTTTTTTATGTTTTCAAAACAGAAAAATTGGCACTTGTATATTTGTAAATTAGTATGTAGAAATAATTCAGAATTATTATTTTTTTATTGAAAGAAAAAAAAAACTAGGTCTCAATTCAAGTGTTTGATTTTGTCTGTAGCTCTTAGTGCTGAGGATCGTGCTGGTCTCGTGAATGCACTCAAGGTAAGTTTATAACGCATATCATGTTCCTTTTTTTTTTTTCCTGATTGAAAGAATTTAACTCTGAAATATGATTAAGCGCCTTTTCTTTCTCTGTAATCAAAAACTTCAATCACAATAGTTTTTGACCTGTTTCGAAGTGTCACAAGGAATCAATCATTTCTCATTCATCGATGATGAGTGCAAAATTACAGTCTTACTATCACGGAAGTGTTAATTTCGTGAGTTTGCAGTAGGCTTCTTTTTTTCTGGGATTTTTTGTGATATATCTACTGTTTACGCAGGATAAGCTTCAACTCTTGGCTGGGCAGCATGTGGACATCCTGGAGACACTGTCACCCATAGTCAGGCAACGAGTGGAGGTTCTCAGAGACCTGCAGGTTTGATGCTGCTTCCATCTCTTGGGTTCTCATGGACGCATGTTTTGATGTGTGTGGCTGTGTGCTAATTACAATTATTTATTTCCAGTTATACGGATACTCAGGTTGTTTCGTTATATAAAATCTTTAATTTAATCCACTGAATGTTTTGCTTACATTGCCCTATTTTCCTTCATTTTTAAATTTTGATGCTTGTATTGGAATGATGGAGTTGTGTCTACCTGAACCCCGCTAGAAATGGTGGGTGCTTACTTGATTTATGTTGTACTTTTATCTTGAAGAAGTAGCAGGGGAGAGTGCTGAGGTGTAGAGAGTATTTGTTACGTCTTAGAACCGCTCTTACAAAACAATATACTTGTTTCCTTGTGTTCAATACTCAGCGGCACTTGTGGTTAATTTCTATTTGTAGCAGAAAGTCTACTTCCTCTAGCTTCATACTAAAAGTTTCAATTTTACATTAGTGAGGGACAGAAATGCAAATATAATTTGGTTTTCAACTTGCAGAGCCAACATGATGAGTTGGAAGCTAAGTTTTTAGAGGAGCGAGCACAGTTGGAATCTAAATACCAGAAGCTTTATGAACCTCTTTACACAAAGGTGTGTATGTTATTCATTGGTAGTGAGCTGCGGATCTTGTTTATTTGTCGGATAGCTTCTTTGGTTTTTGAGATTTCCTGCTCAGAAAGGATTTATAATTTCATGGGGAATGATCAAATATCTAATTTTCTGACAGAAGTACTTGCTGCTTCACAATGGTAACAAATTATTTTTTGTCTTCAAATTGTTTTTTGGTGGTTATAGAGGTTTGAGATTGTCAATGGCGTGGTTGAGGTTGAAGGAATTACAAATGAAACAGTACTGGAAGAAGAAAACAAAGCTGTAGAAGGTAAGTTATTTTACTTTTGTTTACCAATCTAGCCATTCGCATTCTCTTCTGATACTATTCTGGATTTCCTTTTGATTCAGAGAAAGGAGTGCCTGACTTCTGGCTAACTGCGCTGAAGACCAATGAAATACTTGCGGAAGAGGTAGTGGAATTTATGCATATGTATTCTACAGTTTACATCTGTTAAAATGATTGTAGGATAATTATCTGCCTTTTTTTTCCTGTACTAGATCACTGAACGGGATGAAGGGGCCCTCAAGTATCTTAAAGATATTAAGTGGTGTAGAATTGACAATCCTAAGGGCTTCAAGCTGGAGTTTTATTTTGATTCTAATCCTTATTTCAAAAATTCTGTGCTAACAAAAACATATCACATGATTGACGATGATGACCCTATATTAGAGAAAGCAATCGGGTAAGTAATATATGTTAACTTGTTAGGATTTATATTTGTGTTTTCATTTTCTGCATATGTTCTTTTTTTTAAACATTGTAGAACGGAGATTGAGTGGCATCCAGGAAAGTGCTTGACACAAAAGATTCTTAAGAAGAAGCCAAGGAAAGGATCAAAGAATGCTAAACCCATCACAAAAACAGAAAAATGTGAAAGTTTCTTCAACTTTTTCAACCCTCCTCAAGTCCCTGAGGATGATGATGATATTGATGATGATGTTGTACGTCTCTAATTGATATCCATCTATTGGAATGTTGTAAAATGATAGTTATTGACCATTGCCTTTGACATGGATAGGTTGAAGAGCTCCAGAATTTGATGGAACATGATTACGACATTGGGTAAGTCATTAGTAAATACTTGAGTGGTATATATCTTATTCCTTTGATCTGAATGAGGAAGCCTCTTGGTCTATCTGTTGGTCTTGATTGATGGCGTTAGATTTTAGTGAATTCATTATCTGATCTATCCTATTGGGAAAAGGCTTTTGTTGTTGTTGTATTATTTGTTCTATGGTGTTGCATCTTTTTATTTTTCTAATTAGTTTCCACTCAAAAAGTATTTGTTGAAAGGTGCTTTGACAGGTGAGTGCGAAACTGTTTATACTGCATGGCATTATGAATTCATGTTATTAAAACTATAATGGCTTTGTGTGCCATTGTTTTGATCTGATAAAGCAGAAAAACAACAGAACAAGCAGATATTTAACCTATGGAAGAAAATGTTACCATTTGTAGAATCTCATGATAATAGATGTCACCGCAAGACTGTTTATGGTGTTGTTTTAGTTCTATTTTTTTGTTTTGAGGTGCACTTATGTTTGTGTGCACGTGTAGTTCTACAATCCGGGACAAAATTATTCCTCATGCTGTATCATGGTTCACGGGGGAGGCTGCTCAGAGTGATCCTGAGGATATAGAAGAAGATGAAAATGATGAGGATGAGGATGAGGATGGGGATGGTGATGAGGATGAGGATGAGGATGAGGATGATGATGATGATGATGAAGATGATGAGGACGATGAGGTAGAGGAAGGGAAGAGCAAGAGTAAGGTATGGATACAGACTCCATAATTTTGCTTATTCTGTTTCATTCTTGAATCAGATTACTGCTTGTTGATTATGACTTGAGCTTTGTGTTAACTATCTGCTAAACTGTTTGGCGACTAGTATTCTTACTACATAATGTTTGGTTGGTCTAAACTGCAGAGGGGTGGCAGGACCCAACCTGGTAAAGAGCAGCTGACGGAGCGCCCTCCTGAATGCAAACAGCAGTAGTGTTTAGTTGCGTGCAACAGACCTGAATATATTTAGTGTCAGCGGAGTAATTACTATGTAGGCTCTGGGTTATTTCAGTCATAAGCTGCAATTTGAAATTTATTGTCTAGTCTTTGTTTTTGTTTTTGTTTTGTTAATTTGTTAGGTCTCTGCTTGGGTTTCCCGGGTGTCTTTAGGTTGCCCTGTGATATGGATTTTATTTCTTTCTTTTTTTAAAAAAAGAAAAGAGTGTTGAGTATATTTGTGTCATTGTCCATATTTACTGTGTGTCTGTATTATATGAAACTGTACAGAACCTACTTACATTGCTCTGCTTTTTCTACCAAATTATTCAAATTTTGTGAATTCGTCCGTTTGGTTAAAAACTGGGATGATGGTGTTCGGAGGAGGAATTATGCAATTGGTGAAAATTGATTTGAGTTTGGCCAGAAAGAAACGATTCGAGCAAAGAGCTGCGAGGTGCTGTCAATTGTGTTACATCATGGCGTTTGTAAAGGAATCATAAAACTGGTGAAAATTCAACTTAGGCTGGCAAGAAAGCAACCACAAACACGTTTATTTTTTGTAAGCAGACATGCAGACAAATATTGTCATCCAAAAAGACGAACAAGCTGCAATGAAGGAAACTTTCCCTACATTTGGGACAGTATAAATGTCATTTTTTTATCTAACAAATATAATTTTATTTTTTGTGTCATAGTATAAATTTTTTTTACACGTATATGTTGTTATATGATTTAATGAGTTGGGCATCTTATGTACTTATAAAGTTCAACTTATCACATGGAGTGTCAATATAAATTTATATGATAATATAAAAAGTTTTGAATGCACCAAAATTAAACTAAAAAACGAATGCCATTTCTTTATAAAAGAAATATTTTTTGCGCATCAATTTTCATATATAATAAATTATACTTATGTATGGGGTTAATTTGGAGCTTGTTTTCGGTCAGTGGCAGAGCCACGTATGGCCTGAGTGCGGCCCGGGCTAAATTTTAACAAATTATACTTATCATATATAATTATATAATTAATTATAATTTGGCCTGGATTAAAATTGTAATTTGGCCCTATCTAAAACTTAAAATATTTCTGATAAAAGATTTGGGTAAGTTATATTAGGTTATGTATTCAATTTTCACTTAAATAAAAAAATAAAATATTTTTGGGGAAATTAAAAAATATTTAATAAAATTATCTCTTCTTAGTACTACCTGCTCAGATGCTCTATATTTAATATAATTTAAATATATTATGATATGAACTAACTAAAATCAAGAAAAATAAATACACATAAATTTTTGACCCGACTTAAATTGGAGCTGGCTCCGCCACTGTTCTCAGTGGATCCAGGAGCTTGTGTTCTCTTTCCAAAAATAGGAAGAAATAAGGATTGAGAAAAAATTTAAAAGAAAAATAAGAATATAAATGAAAGAAAATATTTCCTTTTTTAGTAAACGACCACCAAATTTATCATCGTCGGGATCATATTAAAAAAATCCCATCATTTGGTTGCAGTAACACCGTTAACTTGAAGCATTTCACCTACCTTGAGCACTTTGGTGTGCCAGTTACTAAGTTCACATGACGTTTTTCAATTTGCACCACCGGCCTGTTTTCCAGATTAATGAAGCCAGATAGCCCTTTGGTATGGGCATGACCAGTAAATACATGTGCATTTAAGTTTCACGATGCGTAAACTATTTGGGTCAACCCTAATATGCGTGGAGTTTAATCCTCATTTCATGCCCATGAGCTGGCTTATATAATAATATTAAATCACTCATCATAACCATTGCTCAATAAGCTAATCCACAACTTGGATTCCGGACCATCCTTTTATGCTATAATCCGCAAAGCTTGACCACTGTTGACGCAACCCAACAAGATCTTTAAGGGCCGTTTGGTACACGGATTTTTTCTGAATTCTCGGGAAATTGAAATTTTTAAAATTTTAAATTTTCAGATATTATTGTAAACTGAATGTAAAAATCATATTTTTAAAAATTGAGATTCCCGGACAAATAAAAATTTCTCCTGTACCAATGTTCTTTTAATCGGGAAAAAAAATTAGAGATATTAATATAAAATTATTAATATAGCACTTACTTACCGGTTTAAATTTTTGAATTAAATTATTTCTTTATATGATTTTTGTAACACCCCGTTCTAGAACCGGTTTGTTAACATCGCATTATGATATTAAGCGCAGTTACAATCACATGGGTTCAATTAAAATCCGGATAAATTTTTCATTTTAAAACATACCGAACTTACAATACCCAATTTCGTGATCATAACCGTATTACCTTGCGGAATCAGATAAATTAAGTTTAACATCATGTTCTTAGTCTATTTTTAAACCATTAATTTACTTCTTATTTATTTCACAACTTCTACTATATTGTAGGTTTCTTCATTAGCTATGCGTGGCTTCAAACCGCGCTCAAATCGGAGTACTGTAGCCCAAGTTAGGACAATTTGAAGCAACACAAGAGAGTGTTGGTCACAGGCCCCGCGCGCTTCAGCGCGCTACCGGGCGCTCAAGCGCGCGCTATCGGGCGCTAAAGCCTCCATCTGGGCGCTTAGGCGCACGGAGGCAGGAAGTATCAGGTATTTCAGTGTGGATGGGCGCTTAAGCGCGCATCAGGGCGCTCAAGCGCGCTATCCTGGGCGCTCAAGCTCCCATTGGGACGTTTTAGCGCGCAGAGACAGAAGCATCTCCTCCTTCAGTGGCTAAGGGCGCTCAAGCGCGGACCAGGGCGCTCAAGCGCGCAACCCTGGGCGCTCAAGCCCCACCCTGGGTGCTAAAACTCGAGGGGACAGTAAGCATCCCATCTTTCTGCAACAAAGGGCGCTTAAGCGCAAGCCAGGGCGCTCCAGCGCGCAATCCTGGGCGCTTAAGCCCCATTTTGGGCGCTTAAGCCCCCACTTGGGCGCTCCAGCGCGAGGAGGCCGAATGCATTGGCACTCACAGGGGCAGCAGGGCGCTTAAGCGCGCTGCCAGGGAATTCCAATTCCCACTCTCTTCAAGTCCAAGTCTAAGGGAAGATGCATCCCCATTCCAAACCCCAATTGTCCATGCCCCAAAACTAAATCCTAGCACTCATCCAACCTCTCCTCATGAGATTTAGCTAGAATTTGGGCAGCATAACCTTTGTTTTCTCATCGTTTCCCAATTTAAACAAAAGGTACCTAATTTATTATCAGCCCAACCAATTCAATAACTCAATACATAACAAGCATGCATATATGGAATTTCAAGTAGGCATCATTTACATTACAAATCATGGAACTTAGCTTACAAAACACTATGATCATTCCCTTGGCTCCCATCAACAAAAGAGATGACCAAAGGCATGAGCATAGGCTAAGTCCATTCCAATATACAAATCATAAATCTAGCATTGCCTATTCATTTAATTCTATACATGTGAGCTACAAAACAACATGTACAATCTCAAAAGAAATGCCACATTTAATGCCTAATCCAGATATGGCCACTTGCCACCAGAGGCTCCTACAGCATCCTTACCTGAAAGGGGGTCCCCACAACACGGGGTGAGATATACGAATATATCCAGTAAACCAGGGGTCCTTGGAGCATCTCTCCACCCCACAGTTCCATATCAGTGTAATAGCAATAACAATAATAATGCAGTAAATACATATCTATGCAAAGTGCAATACATCTCCAGGAGAAATCCCTCGAGCTCTCAAGCTGTCCTAAGGAAACTCAGATGCAAATAGTCCTACTGGCCAGCTAACTACCAAGTATGATTTACGCATCGTCATGCAACATACCACATAGGGAAACACCATCCTATGCCACACCAAATGCATACACATACGTATAACAAAGCATTACACTATTTCATTGCATTTATATACACTATAATCACCACTACCCTTTCAGGGCTTGGTGGAACAATCAAGGGAATTACACCCAAGGTCCGAAGGCTTACCTCAAAGCTTCAGCAACCTTAGTTCGCCACCAATATCAACAATACTCTACTCCAAAACCAACACCAATTCCAATGAGCTACTCAAGCTCCATAGCTTGCTCAAGCGGTTGATCACTCACGGTCGGTCCAAATGTCTCAATCCTAGACATCATTAGGACACAATCATCAATCAACCAAGCCAAACCATTTATTAACAATGCAAGAAAGCCAATATCAAGCATCATATTCTTGCCATTTTACAAGTATACTCATTTAGCTATCTAAGCTCATTTTCACCGATTAAATGTCGTTCCTAGCATTTTTCACAACATGCTCTAAGCTCCATTCTTCCTAGAACATAGCTAATTTAACAACATTTCATCAAAAACCCTAAAACACTATTCATAAACCCTAACTCATGCAAATTTCAAGGAATCATGAGGTTCAAGGGTTAGAATCTTACCACCAATGGTCACACAACCAAGCAAGGAGTGTTCCTCAAGCTCCCATGGAGGTTGAACTTCCCAAAACCCCAAAATCACTCAAATGGTCGAATTTTTGAGAGCCAAAATCTCTCTCCACAATGCTCCCCACTTAAAACAAGGCTAGGATTATGAAAGAGGACGAGATTCTAAGCGATTTAGGCTTTTGAATCATTCCAATCGGTTAAGATTTGATCTCTCTCTCTTCCTCCCTTCCTTCTCCCTCCTTTCTCCTTCTTCTTCTTCTTCTTTCTATTTTCTTTCTCGACGGGTTGCTGGGGGAGATTGGGTTTTTCTTTGTGCTTTTAAGTCACTTACTAGTTAAGTGGCTTTAAGCGGGTATTGGTTCATCTATCTATTCAACTCCATTAATTACCAAACTTTACCCAAAAGTCTGGAATATTATTCTAAGAATATTACTATTTTTATTTTTATATTTTGGGCACTTTCGCCAGTACCCATTTATACCCCTTAATTTTCATTGAGTACATTTTTTAACTCCAAAGTGACTCAGATTCATTTAATTAAGCATTATACTTAATTTTACTCAGTAAAGCATGCTTAATTAATTAATTACACTAGATTTACTAATTAATTAAGATGTGCTATTATAATTTTGGACTTAGACTAAGTGGTCAAGTTAAATATATTAATATAAAATTATTTATATGGTCATTACTTATCATTTAAGCTTGTAGATTGAATTAATCTTTGAAGCACTAAACTAATAAGGTAGCGTTTGGTTGAGGAGAAATTTTTTGAATACTAGGGAAATGTAATTGATAGGGAAATGGTTGGAAAGTGAGTTTGGTAGGAAAATGTAAAAAAAGCTGTTTGGTAGGCTGAATAATTACCGGGAAAATTGGGTTAAGTTTACTGAGTCTATATTTGGTTGAAAGTAGAATATTGATGGGGAAATGTATTAAAAATACGAAAATAACCCTTTTACTTGCTGCAGAATTGGGGCCTTCAGCTTTTACTACAGGTTCAAATACTTTATTTGGTCTGAATTTCTGCATTCCACTCAACTTCAACTTCTTCGTTTATGTTCTCCTTAGTTGCTTCATCAATAATTTTTTTCAGAACATGTTTCTCATCCTCCATAGCAACTCTATTTTCAGAAATATTATCAGTTGTTAAAGAAAGGCTAATTTTTTTCATATACCCCCACGATCCTCCATCAATTCAAGGATATTTTAACTTAAGCTCTTATTAACGAAACTTTTCTTTCTTAGAAAACAAACGGTAATCAATCACTCTCAACTACTCTCACTACAACATCTTTTTTTGTCCTCATTTCTTTTCCTTTAAACAGAGATGTCAACAAATAACAAGAAAGTCGTGGCTAGTGAGTGACGACGAGATTCAAAAATAAAGTAAGGGTTCTTTTGGTATGATATTTTTCATTTCCCCATCAATTCAAGGATACCCATCCTCTGGGTGGTATTCTTCCATAGGGTTTTCATCCAAAAATTACACAGTCAAAGGAATTCAGGGGAAATAGCTTTCCTAGGGAAGTTTTCTCAATTGGGATACCAAACATGAGATTCATACATGCCCACCTTCACTTCCCCAGCATTCTGAAAATATACCTCTTACCAAACACCACCTAAAGGATAAAGTATAATCTGAGCAGTATCTAGGCAACATCTGATTCAAAGAAGGATTTCAAAAGAAAACCGATAAAAACCCAATGGGTGTAGGCGTGTAGCTCACAATGCTGAATAGAATGAGGAGAAAATCTGACATCAAATACATTTTTAGAAAGAGGTAACAAGTTATGATTAAACTTCGATTCGGGATTAGTCTTATAGTTAGTTCAAAAAATTGAAATTTCTGAAAATATTAAGATGGTCAACTCGTCACAAAGAGATAATTAGAATCGATATATCAAAAATAAAATATAAAATAAAATAAAATACATAATATGAAAAATAGTAAACATTACAATAGCAAAATTTGAGGCAAGCACATAATATTAAAATATTAGGGATTCCATTTTACGTAGTTTTCCCAACTTTTATTTGGAATTTCTATGTTAGTGATGTCGCTGGCTCGCTGCTTTCGTTTACTGGTAAACAGTATATGACTATACGTAACTGCGTAATGTACTGGCTTGGAGGGGTCGTGATTAACAATTGTTATACAGAATGGGGGATAAATAAGTATTTTTTATTATTTTATTACAGGAAATCGTAATTAGAATCGAAGATAATCCTTATTGAATAATAATTGCTCCTGCGAAAGTATGGTCTATGTACCATCCTGTAGTTAAAAGCTGAGAAAATAAATGATAAAATAAGGTGACAGGCATCTACATTTGCAAAACGTATCTTTTTCTTATTTTTTGTATCAAATATTGTGTAATTAAGATGAATGACATACACTATCGTTATGTCACAGTATAATAATGAAATTTGGAGGCATTAATAAAAGAAAAACATTGGTTATCATGAAATCCTGTATTCCGTTCCTATTTAGTCTTTGACTGCTTCGTTTCAATTAGATTTTTGCTTTGTTCATGCTCCAAGCACTCAATCTTGTGATCTTGACAGGGGCAGTTCCATTATTAAAAGCATAAAGTAGTGCCTTATCATTGATTGCTAATGTGGGATAAACTCTTGCTGTGATGCAAGCCCTTCCTTCTCCTCCAAAACTCTCCACTACAGAGTGATCAATCTGTGAATAGGAGAAACTCAAGCATTAATTAGCTAATCAAAAAGAAAAATGATGAAATTGGAGTCACTGTGCAATCCAAAGAAATTGACCTTTTTCTTCTTCTTTTTTAACAAAGTATTTGTTCATATGGTTTCATAAATTACAACTTCAACTTACCAAACTTCTTAGTGAAAGCTTCTCATGAAGAGGGTCCACATCCACAAAAGTTCCATATGTGGTCATATCGTTATGTTTATTCAAGGAAGACCTGTCAAAATAAGTACACATTGCGTATATCAAAGAAGAGTTTGGAGCATGTCAAGTTTGGTGTGAAGTTTTCTGAAAGGGATAGATGAAAAGTGCAAACCTGCTTTGGTCGCTGCACATGAGAACCAAATTTTTCTGTTGGTATCTAAATATTCTGAAGAACACTGCTGTGTACTCTTGCAAGCCTTTAGAAGCAAAAACTAGCAGACCAAAGGGTCCCAGACCACCTTTTACTGCTGCACCCTTTTGAGAACACAAAATTTGGGGTTCTATCCAATGGTCTAATACTTCAGCCTCTCCAAAGTCATTCACTTCGAATGAAATTTCAACATCAGCCTGCAAAGAAAAAATGATTGATTCATACGAAAATAATCATACTTCATACCCTTTTGTATGGGGTTAATTCATCTATATTATTAATTGTCCTTTTAGTCTGTTAGTCATGTTTCATGTTATTTAGGATAATCATGTAGTATTTTTCTATTACAATGATCTTGCCTATATAACAGTATAATTCATTATTGAATGAATTTTAGTGCAGAGTCAATACGGTTGTCAACGAGGTAGAAAGTGAAATATTGTAGATATAACATATTACTGAGCAAATATATAATGCTATATATGTATATTGGGTTTAGTGCGTGTCACAAGTTGTGTTCTTTTAGCTTTTAGTGACTTACATAAAATATGACTGGTCATATTTTGTATAAATTTATAAAGTTATTTTTTTCACTTTACATATCAGCGATGTGACTGGAGAGAGAAAAAAAATAAGCAACTTTTCAGATTTACACAAAATATGACTGATCATACTTCGTGCAAATCACTTAAAAGTACACAACTTGTCTCCTTTCGCATATATTTACATTTCTTACAAGACTGTAACAAGTAAGAACTTACATGTGCTGCAGTAACACCAGTAACTTGAAGCAGTTCACCTCCCTTGACCACTTTGGTGGGCCAGTTGACTGGGTTAGCGCGTAGGTTTTCAATTTCCACAACTGGCCATTGCACCAACTGTTTTCCCGATTTATGAAGCCAGATAGCTCTTGGAATAGTCTGCAAAAACATGTGCAATATTAGGAATGTTTACCATATTGTTTTTATTAAAAAAAATTGAGTCAACCTAAAATTGTGTGGAGTCTCACTTCACGGCCTTGAGCTGACATATGTAATATTAAACCATATATTATAAACCATGCTCAATAAACTATAATCTAACTTGAATTTTTTTCGAGATCCTTTTATTTAATCTAGTCTTGGCTTGCATGTAAAAAAATGAACAAATTTTTTTTAACAAATTAATAAATTTCCACCAACTTACATGGATTCCAGACCATCCTTTCTTGATATCATCTTCAACACTTGATGATTCGTTAACCCAACCCAATAAGACCCTTCTGTTCTTTTCATCATCAAAAATAGTTTTTGAGGCATAATATTTTCCATAATCATATCTTAAGACGAATTGGTTATCCTCGAATCCGTTATCAGGAACAAAGATATCCCTGGCAGTGTTATAAGTCCCAATCAAATAATGATCATGTTTTGTATCATCCAAGCTAACCTTTAGCACATGCCTAACATCATCACCATTCATGGATGTGTCCATACCAATGGTGAATGGGCTCTTATTCAAAACTGGATAAAAATCAGGGCATTCCCACATTCCGGTGCCTTGGGCTGAATGTAATGGGTGTTTGGCTTCAACCCAATTAACAAAATTTTTACTCTTGTACAAAATTGCCATTCCCCTAGTATTTCTTTTGCTTCCAATTAGCACCCTCCAATATCCATCTTTGCCTAGCCAAGCAGTGGTGGGGTCTCTAAATGAACTTGAATTAATCTTGTTAGCAATAGTTGGTGCCATTAATGGATTTTTTGGTGACTTAACCCATTCCCTAAGTAATGGGTCAGACATGTTTTTTGGGATGGCTAAGTTTTGAACTTGGCGATTCATTGGGTCAATTCCTGTGTACAAAATGGCTGGCTTGCCCCCAGGAAGCATAGTAGCCGAGCCTGACCAACAGCCATTTATATCAGACGGCTGAGAAGGGTAGATGGCAGGATCTAGTGGGGTCCAATTCACAAGATCTTTTGATACGGAGTGGGCCCACACAATATTGCCCCACACAGCACCTTTAGGATTGTATTGATAGAATAGATGGTAAAGTCCTTTGTACTTCATTGGTCCTGAGTAAAAAGCCACATATGAGGACATTTTCAGCCAACAAGTGTAAAAAAAAGACAAAAAAAACAAAGCATCAACATGTAACACCTGAATCTATTATCTATAAAAATTCATGTTTTTAATTAGTATTTTTTTTGAAAAAAATATGAAATTATTAATAAAACAAATACTTATTTGTTTCCCCACTACAGAGAATATGGATCTTGGATTTGAACATTTCAATGATTTTGACTGTGTTCCATGTAAATTTTGCAATTGCATTGATATTTTATGAAATGGGTAGACAGTAGAAGTGGAATAATATAAGAAACAGGGTGTGTTTGAAGGAAACTTTTAAAAAAAAAAAAAAAAAAATATTGAGCATAAATGAAGGAGTCCAACAGAGAATAGAACTAACCATTGGGGTCTGCAAGATGTCCATTTCAGCATAACATGTCAAATGAATAAAACAAGAAGCAAAATAAAAAAAAAACAGTTAGAGATATAAAATATTTCGTACAGAAAATGTAAGTAGGGAAAGAAGGGTAATTAATAAAGAAGATTAAAGACTAGTCTGTAGGAAATATACCATTTATCCAATTCTTGGGAGGTTGAAAGTGATAAGCAGTTCTATAAGGTTGATTCGAGGAATCTGAAGATAGACTCTGAAGATTTCTGTAAACATGGTGGCTAGCTTCAATGGGAAGAACACCATTGCCATAAATGAGAGAGAAAAGAGCAAACAACAAAATTGGAGAGATGTCCATGATACTTTCAAGGGAATCAATGAGATGGGATGTGGGAAGCTTGTGTTCTAGCTATTATCTATTTATATAGAAAATACTGCTGGCTGTGAAATGAGAAAGTACATATGTGATTTATCCAATTAATTGATAGTGTTTTATTAAAAAAGATTCAAAGAAGCATGGAAGGAAATAAGTATTCTTAGCTCTTAAATGTTAAATTAAAGTCAAAAGTCAACTTTATTGAAGATTATGATTCAGAAAGTCAATAAAATACGATTTTGCTATTAATTTTCTTTCGGTATGACTCCATGGTGGTTTGCAGCTTGCTCACGTCTGTTTGAATATCTTATAAGTTCACTTAACATAAAACAGTAAAACTTGACTAGTATGTAACTCTGCTGTGTGAATTGACCACTTGCATGGCCTTCCTTTCTTTGCATGGACCTCACTATATATCTCTTTTCAATGTCTATTTTGGTTTTTTTTTCAATTATCTCCATAATAATATCAGCATCAATTGGCTTTTTCTTCAATTATCTCCGTCATAACATCAGCATTTGGATATATTGATGCTGATGTCATGATGAAGATAATTGAAAAAAAAGCCAAAGCAGACAAACCTTAGTGGAAAGAGATGTACGGTGAGGTCCACACAAAAGAAAGGAAGGCGCTAAACTTATCTATTAGTACCGATGTAGACCCCACTCATGTATTATGAAAAAATTTTATCACGTAAAATAAGAAAACTATTTCCCAGAAATAATATATTCAAACATGGGGAGTTTTTCTTTTAATTAAAAGATACATGTCACATGCTCCGGCAGTTAAAACATTAAATACTATATATTGCAATACATCATGTCATGATGTAACAGTATGTAAATTATCGCAGGGGTTAACCCAAATTCGGTAAAAAAAATGAAGGAAAAAAAAGAGAGAGAGAGAGATTGACAAAACAAAAACCCAAAAGGGGAAGTTTCGTAACATTTTTTTGTGATGTTTCCCGTAGCAGTAAGTATGATTGATATCGTGTGCGGTTACCGACCAAGTATCACAGGAAAAGAGTGAATTGGACTTATGAGGAAAACGTGGTTAGAATAATAAAATATAGCCAACCAGTATGGGAATGAAGAGTGTGAACACATGCACCTACGTACTAAACTATACTAATTGATAAATGAGAGGACTTTAATCTTTCTTTCTTTTTCAACATAGACTGCTACCTTGTGTTTGTGGTGTATTCGACTAGTTTCCAACTCAGGGATATAACTTGTGCTTATCTAAAGTGTACTGTATGCCTTATATATGTGCAGATTTTGTGCGTCAACTTCTAGTTTGGACTATAAATTTTGATTGCATTCCGGATCTAGATCTCTACTTAAAAGTCTTCCTCTTCAAATTGGGAAAGCCATCCATCTACCTCATCTTGCTAACAAAACCAGAATATATATTATTCTTTGAATTGTCTTTGAGAGCTTTATGCCATGGACTTAATTGTTTAGTTGATGAATTCCATTACTATTTAATTTCTCGCCATATGGTTCATGCAAACTGCTTAAAATCATTCTGAAAAACCACATTAAACATAATTTTTGTTGTGTTTTCGAAGAGAAAACCTTGATCAAGGGGCATGCCCATCTCAATTACACTAGGGCAACTTTTAGAAATAAATGGGAAATTTATTTTAAACCAAGTATGAAAATTTTGGTAGGTACCAGTTCTAACTTTTAAAAAAGTTTGTCCACCTCTTTTTTTTTCTTTTTTTTGTCTAATGTTCGTGTCCACAATGCAAGATCCACCCTTGATTGAATTTGTACAGTCATATTGACTCTCTTGAATGGGAAGATCACCATTAGTCAATAGCCAAATCGGAGATGGCCATGGTTGCTTTGGGGCTATGGTTGAAATTTGCGAGGGAAAAATCAAAGGATAGATCACAAAAAGACACGGCACGAGGTTATTTCTCAACTAGATCTTATCCAAATTTTGAAACAGAAATTTCAAATATCGCCTCAGAGAAACTTCCAGGAAAATAAGCTATGCATTAAAATTGGTGGAAAATAAGCTATGCATTAAAATTGGTGCCAGAATTCAACTTTTGAAGAGCATGGGTTCTATATATGCATTAAAGACCCATAAAGTTTATAAATAAACCATCTCATTCTATGTCACACGCATATATATATATATATATATATAGAGGTAGGATCCTTTGACATCGGTGTCAAATTTGAAGTTTGACACCTCATGTAAAAGCCGTTAGATCAAAAAAGATCAACAACTCTGATTTATAAGCATGTGACACCATTGATCTTTTTTGATCTAACGGCTCTCAGATGAGGTGTCAAACTTCAAATTTGACACCGATGCCAAATGATCCTACCTTATATATATATATATATATATATATATATATATATATATATATATATGGACTTATCATTTCTCAAACTGTCGGAGATTATCTCTCTGACTGCTAAATCATAACCGTATAAAGATAGATCAATGGTGATAAAGGAAGAGAGAGAAAAGGAGAATCATAACCATTCAAAGGTGAATCAATACATATAAGGAAATAAATAATCAAAACGACGTAGTTTTGGGGTGGCCGGAGATAAATTTATCTCAAACAGCTTAACAAATGTTTTTCCCTATATATATATAGGGAGAGGTTATACTTACAACCTATTTTCCTTTACAACCTCTTACAACCAATATCTTAACCGTTAATTTCTGTCAATCAACGGTTAAGATTTATTGTTGACTGCAGAAATATTTTGCAGGCTCTTAAAGTCTTGTTTACGGGGAAAAGTGTTGGAATCAACGCAATCACACACAATCGATAGAGAGAAAAGGGAAGAAATAAAGTGACAGCGATTTATACTGATAACCCAATATAAGCTACGTCCAACATGTCTGCACTATATTCTCCTCACCACACTCGTTACAAGTCACTCAATTTACAAAAAGAATATAAATAGGATAACAAACGCTAAGCAACAATAACTATTCATGAGCCCAAGACCAAACTACTAAAGAAACAGCAAAATAAAATAAGCCAAAAACTAACAACAGTACCAGGCCTCCGTGGTCCCGTTAGCTTTCTCTGTGTCCCGCCAATAGGAGTCGTCATCTAACTACGAAGTATGAGCCATATCCATAAAAAATGTGTAACTCTTGCATACTACACAACCATGGGCTTGATTAACTGTTTTTAATGTTTAATTAAGCAATTAAACACAGCCTTTCAGCCTTCAGGTAGTTCATGCAGAAGAGATGGGTCACATTCCTAATCTATTGTAAAGGATTCATTTTTAGTCCACAAATTGTCTATTCAAGATTTCTTTATTATATAATCCTCATTGAATTAATAGCAAAATGACAAAGTGACATTTGTCTAAACCAAATATAGGTAAAATGAAATTAAGTAACTTATTTGCAATTTGTAATTTAGTTTTGGTATCAAAAAATTTAAGGTAAGAAAATGGTTGTCTCAGCTCAAGGTTTGGTGATGGTTTTTGAATCTATCAACAAATGCTTCTACCCCGTCAAGAAGATTACTTATGCATTTCTAAACTCTTCCAAGAGAGAGAAGTGTGAGAAGAAGAGAAGAGCTCATGAGTTTACTTCAGGGATGGATCAGCAATCAGATCATGGGCCAAATTGGGCTTTCAACCATTCATGCGCCAATCCTATGGTACTGCTTAATTACTGCCCGTTGATCTCTTTTATTTGGCCCTTGGAGCCTCAAATCTGTGTACAAAGAAACTAAATAAATTATTGATACGTTTAGGAACGCACATGGAAAAACATGACACAGGAAATCATATTTTCATGTTATATGATATTACTTAGAGTAAATATCTTTTTGGGTCTCCAACAAAAATATAGTCTTCACTTTAATCCTTTACAAAAAAAAATTAGTCGGTTAGTCCATATAAAATTTAAAGTGAACCCATTTTAGTTCTTTCGATGAACTAATGTGGCTCTTTTTTGAATTTTTAAGGGACCACGATTTTAACTAAGTAGGTTCACTTTGAATTTCTTAGGAACCTCGAGACTATTTTTTTTTATAAGAGACTAAAGTGAGGATCATATTTTTTGTTAAGAATCAAAAATAGTATTTACTCTATTACTTATTCATATTGTACTCACGTTGAATAATGTGTTATTCTTTTTTTTTAAATCGTGGGCCCAATTCCATTTGTCTCAGAAAATGGAGATAGTTAGAGATAACTTTTAGTAACTGGATAAACAGTTTTCCCATTAATAATAGG